GCGGGATGCTGGCGGCCGCCCCGCTGCTCGGTGGGGCCGAGACGCTCTGCGCCCTGGGTGGGGGCGACGGGCGCCTCCTCCTCTTCGCCCTGGACCACCCCGGGGCTGCCACCGAGCTGAGGCTGTTCGAGGGGGCCGTGCGTGGGCTGAGCTGGGCCCCCCACCCTGGGCTGCCCCCCAGCACCGCTGCCCTCCTGGTCTCCGGGCCCGACGGGGAGATGCTCTGGCTGGACGTCACCCACCACCCTGGGCAGGCTCCCCGGGTGCGGCTGATGGGACGGTACCTGCTGCCACCCTGCAAGCAGCGCTGGCACACCTGCGCAGCCTTCCTGCCCCAGGAAGGGCTCCTGGTCTGCGGGGACCGCCGGGGCTCCCTCCTCCTCTTCCCTTGCAGCAGCTCCCCAGGACAGGCTGCGGAAAGCACCAGCATCACCAATGGTGGCACCGACTCAGTCGGCGAGGACTCAGGCAGCGAGTTGGAGCCCTCTGGCTTGTTGCACAAAGAGGCTCTTCCCCTTGAGGCCCCGGTGTCCGTGCTCTTTGGGCTCCATGGGAAGACAGGGGTTACCTCGGTGGCCTGCCACAAAGGCTACATCTACAGCACCGGCCGGGACGGTGTCTACCGCCAGCTCCGCCTGCGGGGCCAGCAGCTGGAGGTCCTGCAGAAGCACAGGCCCTGCAAGGGGCTGCAGTGGATCGAGGAGCTGTGCTTCACCCCCAGCGGGGACCTGCTTGTGCTGGGCTTTCATGCTGACAACTTTGTGGTGTGGAGCAGCAGGACTGGCGGGAACCTCCACTGTGTCCCCTGTGGTGGGGGACACCGCTCCTGGAGCTACTGGAGCAGCCCCTCGGCTGAGGCCTTCGCCTTCATCAAGAGTGGGGACGTGATGCTCTACCACCGCGAGGCCGAGCCCTGCGAGCAGCAGGTGCTTCTGGCGTCCCTGCATGGGCGGGAGATCGCCTGCGTGCAGCGCCTGGGGGCAGTGGAGGTGCCCGGACACACCACCCTTAACGTCTTTGTTACCGGCAGCGAGGACACCACAGCCTGTGTCCTGGCACTCGACGAGCGTTCCCGGGCAGCCGTGCCCCTCGCCCGGCTCAGCGACCACATTTCTAGCGTGAGGGCGCTGGCGCTGGCTGGCCCTGCAGGACCCGGTGATGACAGTTTTGGTGGCAAAGGCTTGTCTGCCCTGCTCTTCTCTGCGGGCGGCCGGGCGCAGATTGGGTGCTACCAGCTGCTGTGCACTGGGGACCCAGCCTCCGAGAGCGCTGTGGCCTGCCAGGTGGTCCATGTGGCCTCCCACCGGCTGGACGAGCACTGGGAGCGGAAGAAGAACAGGCACAAGCTGGTCAAGATGGACCCAGAAACAAGGTGATGCTGAGGGACTGCCTGAGGCAGGGTTAGCAGTCACCATGGTCTGGGAGGGTGCTGGGAACCGCAGTGGGATACCTGCTCTGCCCCTGCGGGCTCAGCGGAGGCAGAAGGAGATGGTGTGGTTTCATGCGTACCTTTCTGGTGTCCTGTGCCCAGTGGTTGGGCCTTAAGGAGCTTTTGGGGTTAGAGAAAGGCTTGGTCTTTCATTGTGCCTCTTCCAAGTGCTTGGAGCTGCATCCTGCGCTGGGCTCAGGCTTCTCACCCACCTGCTCCGTGCCACAGGCGTCACAGAGGTGTTGGTGAACATCATGTGTTTCCTGCAGGTACATGTCCCTCTCGGTCGTGCCCGGGACCAGCACTGAGCAGCTGCCAACACCCTGGAAGTTCCTGGCTGCTGCCTGCAGTGATGGATCGGTCCGGTGAGGAGCCGTCGTGGGGCCCGGCAGGGAGATCAGAGCTGGGTCTGGTGACGGGAGCAGAGCAGGCTCCCCAGGGGAGGCTCTGGCTGTGAATGTGGCTGGCTCTGAGCGGGCAGGAGGATGGTGGGTGGTGGGAAGTGGGGGCAGAGGTGCCAGGACCCCCCTTCCCCAACAGCTGACTGCCCTCTGCTCCATCACAGGCTCTTTGGGCTGCTGGAGGCCGCCCGGAAGCTGGTGCTGGTGGCGGAGTCGTTTTACCACCAGCGCTGCGTGCTGAAGGTGGAGGCGTTCCTGCACGCGCGGGCAGGAGGGGAGAGGTGAGCTCCAAATGCTGCGTTGAAACCACCAGGGCTCTGGGGACAAGTGTTTGTCCTTGCAGGGACAGTGGCCAGCAGCTCAGCAGTTGGAGGGAAGGGAGAACTCAGTCTGCAAGGGTTGTTCTGCCAGTTCCTCACATCTTGGTGGGGACCCTCGGGGCTGCCCACCACAGGGCTGCGGCCAGAGGCTCCTCCAACGCTTCCCTTCTAGGAGACACCTCCTGTGCAGCGCGGCCACCGATGGCAGCGTCGCTTTCTGGGACATCACCAGCCCCATCACGGATGCGGTGGACGCCCTGCACCGAGTGGAGGGAGAGATGCAGCCCCTGGGTGGGTGCAGCTGCCCGCAGCTCCTCTGCCTCCCGAGGGAAGGCCACGCTGGTGCCTCCTCTGCTCCTTCTGACCAAGGTGAGCATCACTCTCCTGACCGAGCCTGTTTTCCAGCCCTGGGCGCCCCGCTGCTCACCGTCATGGCCCACAGCTGCGGTGTGAACAGCCTCCACGTCCGTGAGACACCAGAGGGACAATACCTGGTGGCCAGCGGCAGCGATGATGGCTCCATCCATGTCTGCCTGCTGGAGGTGGCCTTGGGCAAGGGGGAGACTGCGGCAGGGACCTGCTTGCGTGTGCTGGAGCGGGTGGCCAGGCCCTGTGCCCACGCCGCCCATGTCACGGGGATCCGGGTGCTGCGGCCGGACCTGCTGCTCTCCGCCTCGGTGGACCAGCGCCTGACGCTGTGGCGCTGGGGCCCAGGCGGGCTCGAGGCCCTCAGCACCACCTTCTTCCACGTGCCCGACCTGGCCGAGGTGGACTGCTGGGAGGTGAGGGAGGCTGGGGGGGAGCTGCACTACTACTGCGTGCTCTGCGGGCAGGGGCTGGAGATGCTGCGTGGCACAGCCCCCCCAGAGACCCCTCCACAGCAGGGTCCCCACTAATGGGGTAGGAACAGCACACCCCGTTCCCTGCCTATGTGCTCTGCCCATCACCACAGCACCTGTCCCAGCCTGCCCACTGACGTGTCCTTTCTCGAGGGAACAGGAGTGCTTGGCTCCTCTAGGGACAGCACAGCCATGTCTCAGGTGCTCAAGGCTGGCGATCTCGGGGGAGAAGTAAGATGTGGTCCATCCCGGACCAGCCCACAGCTCCCCAGGCAATGAAGGAGGAGTAGGGTCATCAGCCCACTCTGCCCAGGAGAAACTGCTCCTTCCCAAGGTGTGAGGGACCTGTGTCCAGGCTTTGCAGCCCTGGTCCTAGAGAGGAATCTTATCAGAAAGGTGCTGAGCACCATACCCAGCCCTGGGAGCTGAGGGGCAGCAGGAGGCCAAGACCAGCTGGGCGCTGGTGTGGCGTGTGGCAGGCTGCAGCCGCGTGTGACAGCCCTGTCACTGTGTACAGTGCTGGGGACTGTACTGAAATGAGTGGGGACACTGATCTGCAGCAGCAGCCCAAAGTGCTGTGCTATGCTGGCCTCAGCCAGCCCCCCCCTTTCCTCAGAGCAGCCTTCAGTGCTGCCTCGGGGTTGTCACAGGACCCAGCACAAGAAGCTGCAGGTGGCCCCAGCCCCACACGGGGCAAGGTGCTCTTTGGGGTCAGACACACACACTGTTTGTCCAGCAACAAATGTATTGGACCCCAGTATTGGGGCCTGGTGGGATGGGAGCCTCAGGAGCTCCCTGCCAGCACGGAGTCGCCTTCAATAAATGGCTTTGAGGGACCCAAGGTTGGTGGCTGGCTTTGTGGTGACTGGTCCCCAGTGCCGCCTCCCCCAGTACTCCCCAGCCCAGCTTGCAGGGTGCTGCTGGTGTGGACATGGCAGACGCACCCCTCTCCCCCGCTGGGCACAGCCATGGGGTGTGCATCGTCCAACCCTCAGAACTCGGAGGGAATGCATCTGTGTGGGGCTGAGGTGTCCCCTCGCTCCCTGCCTGACCATGGGGCAGCCCCTCACCCTGCCAGGGAGGACGTGCCCTGTCCTTCCCCTTGTGGCACATTGTCCTGGTGCCTGTCACACTGTGGCACAGCTCTTCAGTGGTGGCTCAGATCTGGCTGAGAGGAGGGAGGTGCAATGTCGCCAGGGCGCTGTGGAACATGTCCCTCACGGCTCCCAGCAGCTGGAGGCGGGCAAACATCTGGTCAAAGAGGTGAGGGAACGGCTCCTGCAGGGAGAAAGGCAGCGATTTGGGGCTGGTGGCCATATTTCTCCTCAGCGGGCTGGCCCTAAAGGCACTGCTGCTTCTGCACCCTACGTACGCATCTTTGAGGGGCTGGTGTGGGGCTGCATCACCCCACTGGCACTGCCAACCCCCACAGCTGCTGTCCAGCCCCAGGGAGAACTGCATGGCCACAGCCCTCCAGCAAACAGCCCAGGACACCCAACTCACCCCCAAGATGTGGACCCGGTTGTAGTAGGAGCTGAAATCCATGCTGAGCTGGATCAGGAACTTGCACACCTGCAAAACAGAGAGCTCTGCTGGCATGGTGGGGTCTGGCTGGCCCTGGGCGCTTCCCCACCCCCCACCCCGGGTCAGCCCCGGGGGTGTTGTGGTCTCTTCCCTCGTCGCTCACGGGTGAGTAGCCTTCCCCTGGGCTGGGAGTGTTGGAGCAGCACCCACGGGTGGCACCTACCATCTCTGTGTTGGCTGTGATCCGGATGCCCTTGCTGGGTGGGGGCAGCTCTGCTGCCTGCTGCAGGACTTCAGGGAAGGGCAGGAGATAGTTGAAGAGCAGGAGCCACTCACCCTGTGAAAGGATTATGTGGGTGGGAGAGGGCCAGATCCTCCTGGGCTAGCAGCATCCATCACCCGAGCTGAGGGAATATGGGGACCCGTGTGCCCTTTCTCAGCGCTCACCTCTTCCCGGAGGCAGGAGAAATTCAGTTCTGATGCTGGTGGCAGAGGTGGGTAAGTGCCTGGAGAAGAGGTGGGAGACTACTGTTGTGCCCAGAGAAGCCCCTGTGGCTCCAGGCATGAGGAACAGCCCAGGAGTGGCTGTTAGAAGGAGGTTGTGGGGCTGTTGCTCACCCCGCTCCACAGCCCGCTGGTAGGTGTCGAAGAGCGTGGCCAGCCGGGCACAGTTGTACATCACAAAGGCACCACTCTTGGTTCCCTTCGTGGAGATGCTGCTGTCCTCCAGGTCCAGAGTGATCTGAGGGCAGGGAGAAGTCACAGTCCAGGCTGTTGCTCTGGTATTCCCACTGCTCACCTGCCCCGCTCTGCACAACCCCCTGTCCTACCTGACTCCGGTGGGCCGTGCTCAGCATCTCAAACCTGATGGCAGCCACTGTGAGGGTATCAATCACCTCAGTCCAGGCCTCATCTGTGGAGAACAGAGGTGGGATCACACACAGCTTGCTCCATTCCTATGTAATGTCACCCTCAGTGCCCAGGCAGGAACCCCCACTGGGGCCAGGGGACTCCGGTGGAAGCTGGGGACCACCATGGCCCCCAGGTGCAGGTGCTGCTCTGTGCTGGTGCCCCAGTTTAAATGCCTCCCCCCCAACAAGGTCATCAACTGGCCCCATCGTGAAGGGGAGAGGACCGCCGCGTGGGGGAGAGCCCCACTGCCTGCAAACACAGAGGTGACGGGGGGAGACTCATGGGAGCAGCAGGGACTGGGACAGAGCAGCATCCGTGTAGACCCACAAAGCAAAGCCTCACCTTGTGCAAGCTCCCCGTACTTCATCACGGAGGCTTCGTACATCTGGTGCTTTCGGAGCCTGGGAGGAACACGGACACTCAGAGCCACAACCCCTGGGCTGACCTGGCCCCAGAGACCGCCCCAGGGCTCCCCCAGCCTTTGGGGTGCTCAGGGCACCCCAGCTGCAGCGGTGACCCAGCCAAGCAGAAGTGGTACAAAACCTCCATGAGCCGGGCCACACTGTGGCCAACCCTTTGTGCTGCTGCCTGGAGGGCTGTGAGGAAGCCACTGTGCCAGGCACAGAACTCTCCATGTGCCACCAGCTCACTCAGCACCACAGTGTGGCTGCTGGGTGCCCGTGGGGCCAGCAGAGCACAGGCAGGCGAGCAGCACAGCGAGTGCCTCACACACACCAACTTACTGGAAGTATTGGTCTGCCCCAATGGGCGATGAGGGGTTTGTCACCTTCACTGGCCCACAGACAAGGTGTTTCTGAAAGGGAGAAGCGAGGTGGGGCTGGGGTCAAAGACTCAGAAGCTGCACAGAAACACAGGACAAGAGAAACAGGCTAAAACCAGCCCTGTTCTAGCTGTGTCCCCACAGTCTTCTCCTGTCTCTCCTCCTTTAAGGCTGAAATCCCAAGGACAGAGAGGCTGCTCCACCACGTGGGCAAGAGTGTGGAGGGGCCACCAAGGGAAAGGGAAGCCTCACAAGGGGGCAAGGCTGGGCCTCCGCATCCACTGCGGGGACTGAAGGAGGCTGGCTGAGCACAAAGATGCTGGGGGCCACAGTGAGAAGAGTGGGAGGTTCCTCACCTGCAAAGCTGTGTGGGCTCCTGGATCCAAAATCCTCCAGAGCAGATCCAGCTGCTGCTGCTGGAATTCCTCTTCGCAGCTCACCACATGCACGACGCTGCAGCAGCTCCCCTGGCCTTCAGCCTGCAGCAGAGCACAGCAGGGAGCTCACACACCATTACGTGACAGAAGGAAACGAGATCTCGAAAGTGGGAGGTGGGCAGCACCACAGGATTACTCACCGTGCACTGCAGAACAGCTTGCTGCAGCTCAGCCAGGGACCGCAGCTTCTCCTCTGTCACTGAAAGAAGGAAGGAGCTCTCAGAGTGAGACACAAGGGCTTGCCACCCCCTGCCATCTTACCCCATCGGGTCTGCCCCAGGCTGGCTGTGTTTCTGGCTCAAACCAGACTAAATAGGAATAAAAGGAGAAGGCAATCTGGATCTAAATGAATCATAGAATGGTTTGTAGAAGGGACCTTAAAGATCATCTAGTTCCAACCCCCCTGCTGTGGGCAGGGACACCTCCCACTAGACCAGGTTGCTCAAAGCCCCATCCAACCTGGCCTTGAACACTTCCAGGGATGGGGCATCCACAGCTTCCCCGGGGACCCTGTTCCAGTGTCTCACCACCCTCACAGGGAAGAATTTCTTTCTAGGATTTACTTTACGTCTCCCGCCTTCCAATTTAAAACCGTTACCCCTTGTCCTGTCAAATGCCCCTTATTTTCTGTAAAAACAATTGAAAAAAAAAAAAAAGGAAAGAGGCCTGTTTGCAGCCGATCACCCCCTGCTGTGACACCAGAGCTGCTGTACTTGTGAGGCTCACCGAGAAGGACGTCTAGGTTGGGGTCGTAGCCCTCCAGCCCCTGCTGCTCCACAAAGCTCTTCAGGTGCACTTTAGAGATGACGTCATCAGGCAGTGTGGCTGTGCCCGGCTCCTGCCCACAGGCTGTGGCACAGGGGGACTGGCCCAGCGCCTGCTTCAAGGCCGAGATGGCGTCGGGGAGGTCCGAGCCGCCGCAGCTGGAGGGCCAGTTGACGCGGAGCTGCTGCAGGACCTCCCGGCTCCCCTCCTCGGGGACGGCGGGAACCAGGCAGACGCTGACCCTAGGAGAGAGGGAGAGGCGGGTGGTGGCCGCAGGGGGCCGGGTGGCAGGGCCGGGGGCAGTCGGGCAGGTTGGGGGGGGGCACTCACCCCTGGGCACGCAGCAGCTGGGCCAGGTGGTCGGCCAGCAGGAGCGGGCGGAGGTGGCGGGGCCGCAGGGCGGCGGGGCGGCGCAGGGCCGGGCAGTGCAACACCACCCACCCCGATGGGGCCTCCGACGGGGATGGGGATGGGGACGGGACGGACGCGGGGCCCAGCAGGCGGCAGAAGGCCTCGGGGCGCCGCAGCTGCACCGCCAGCCCCGCCGGCGTCTCCTGGCAGCCCCGCACCGCCAGCACCCCCGGGCCTCCCAGTGACGTCACGCCCGGCATGACGTCAGCAGGCACCTGCCGGGTGAGAAGGCGAGGAAGTCAGAATCACAGAATCACAGAATCTTCTAGGTTGGAAGGGACCTTAAAGATCATCTTGTCCAACCGTCAACCTAACTGACAAAAATAGACACCCGCACAACAAACAAGAAGCATCACCATCACTAAACCATACCTCCCAGCACTACATCAACCCGTCTTTTGAACACCTCCAGGGATGGTGCCTCCACCACCTCCCTGGGCAGCCCATTCCAATGTCTGATAACCCTTTCAGTGAAAAAAATTTTCCTAATATCCAGCCTGAACCTCCCCTGGCGCAACTTGAGGCCATTTCCTCTTGTCCTGTCGCCTGGGACTTGAGTCGTTAGTCCCCTGCCCGCACGTGGCCCGGCGCTGGCCCCGCCCCCTCCGCTCAGGCCCGCCCTTTGCTTCAGCTCCTCCGTCGGCCCCGCCCCTTTCATGCAGGCTCCGCCCCCTCCCTCTGATTAGCCCCCTCCGTTGGCCCC